TGGAATCGAGATCGCGATTCGACAGAAGCTGCGATTGTTATGCATATCTTTCAGTGAAGCACGGTTCTGTGATCAGCAGTAAATCTCCATCCGAAGGCCAGAGGGCGCTCTCGAGCTGAAACTCCAAATAATATATAATTTTCATTAAAATAAAGTATATTTACAATGCAATGCCTTTATCACTGCTTAAATACTATGAAATATGTTGCGTGCCTTATTCTGTGTAAGAAGCCACATCTCAGAAGAATTTATTTCAAACACTCGACTGACGTTATGAAGTGAGTTTGGAGTAAAAATATGTTATTAAATGTGCTATTTTCACATACATTCTTTCAGATGGAGCAGCATTTACTTCACAGAGCCGTAGTTCACTGAGAAGCTATGCAACAGCTGTCATTATCGCAGAATGATTTCAGAATCATGCAATAAAATCGTCGGCGATTTTTTTGCGTAACTTGTCAGTGAACTACGGCTATGTGTAGTAAATGCTGCTCCGTCTGAAAGCACGTGTATTAACAAATAGTACTATGGCAGGCTTTTTCACACAACTAAAAAGTTAACTCAATTAATCTGATCAAAACTGCTGTTGTACACAATCTACAACATGCCTTCTGTCATCTGACTGATAACTTCTTCAGCAAAGAAAAATGTATAATGAAAATATCATCTTACTAAGACATTTTTGGGAGATATAGTGGCAACTAATATTTATATGCATTTAATGTAAGTCTGCTAAGCTGTTATAAAACTGTCATAGATTTACATTACAAGCTATTGTAATCTCATCTCTCTTTTTTGGACATAAATAACAACTGCACCCAATAGCATTTTTATTTTTTATTTTTTTTTTGCTTAGTTTGGGCCTCTCACATCATACTATATGAGCCATAAACCTGATATATCAAATATAATACAAAAAATATATTTTTATTTTTATTTTATTTTTTTTTGTCTAAAATTTCAATAAAAATTTGATTTTTCGGACTTTGGTTTCATAGGGTTAAATCGCATGTGGTCATAGTTACAAATGTGTTCACTTCTCTTGCTATGTGATAAAACATGATGTGGTGCTTAGATACATGAATTATTACCATATTCATGCACCATTTGCACTCCAAGATTCTTCAAGTAATGTTATTACAGTAATACGCTTTGGCATTTTATAAGCCCTCTCTTGGTCGAAAACCTGAAATAAATATCTAGATTGAAATTGGGCTGCCACTAACGACTATTTTTATTTCGATTAATCTATCGACTAATTTATCGATTAATCTAAGCGATTAATACTTGTTTAATATTGACCAAGCATCGTTTAATTCAAATGTCCACTTAATCTTTAATATTTGGCCATTTCTTTACGACAGAAATGCTATAGCCACTGTAATTTAATGAATATGTGGACATCAAAACGTGTAAATTCAGAGTGAGGGTTTGAGCTTTTATTTTGAAACCGCGAGATAATGATGTATTCTCATGTGTTTGCGTGGATTTATAAATACCAAATACCATAATATTTGTAAAAACCTTACAAATCTGATGCAATGGCGCACGTTGCTTTCCCAGATGAACGGATTATTTTGGTAATTATTATCGAATAGTCGAATAGAATCGACGAATCGCGGCAGCCCTAGATTTAAATAAATGATTAAATAGCGCGGTCAGCACGAGGGCCTCGCGAATACACAGTTCAGAAAATTTGTCCGAAGAAGAGAGAAGGAGAAGGTCAGTAACTTTGAGTCAACATGTACATGCTTTAAATAGGAAGGAAGAGACTGGTGGTATTATTGACGAGCCTTTTTCTCTGGCGGAAATGGTAAGAGCGATTAAAAGAGCAAAGCCTACTTCTCCAGGGAAGGATCAGGTGTGTTATGTAATGTTAAAACACTTTGGGGAAGGATCACTGTTAAAGTTGCTTGAGTTATATAATAAAGTGTGGAATGAGGGGAAACTGCCAATTGCATGGAAAGAAGCAGTAGTGATTCCGATAAGGAAACCTGGCAAAGATCCAACTAAACCCACAAGTTACAGACCAATTGCCCTTACATCTAATTTGTGTAAGATAATGGAGGGAATGATAACAGATAGATTGTCATATGTAATGGAAAAAATAAATTTATTGGAGCCCATCATCTGCACACTTCCTCACCCGCCTCGTCCGAACCTGCCTGCCCGCCGGCAACAACCGCTGCATTGTGGTCAGTCTCGTTTCACACCATTACTGATGTGCTTAGTACTCTATTTTTGTTCAAATAGACCGAGACAGGCTGCTGAAAATTCAGCCTTGCCATTAAATGAATAAACTGCATTTTAAAAGATATTAAAATAGTTAAGTTATTTTAAATTGTAAGAATATTTCACAATATTACGGTTTTACTAATATATAGAATATATATAAATTCATTTCATCACTCAGTATAAAAAAAAAAAAAGAGGTAAAAATCGGGTTTATAGTAATGAATGAAATAGTCAATATTTAAATACATAGTGTTTTGAAAGTGTAGCCATAACACTTTAAATGTTAGAAATTAGATATAATGTGCAGTTATTTTCTCTTGCAGTATTGTGCCACAAATGATGTTGACGCAGCTCAACTTGAAACATTTCTTCAAATTTAAGATTAGTTGACACGGTGGGTTTGTTTGGTTTTTCAGATGGTGTGCGAGCACTCTGATGTGTTTGCGTCAGCGTGTGCCATTGCCCGAGCTTTCCCGCTCTTCACCCGCCGTTCAGCATCTTCTCGCAGGACAGAGAAGAAGCACGTCACTGTGGAGTTTGTCACTGTGGGTCAGGACAGTGGCCCGCTGGAGGTCTCCACACTGAAGGTAAAGCGATAAAGTGTTCAGAGCTACTTCCCTGTGCCTCAGGTTAAGTTGGTTACTAGTTAATTTATGATTATGCATCATTATATTACATCCATTTCAATGTGCAAGTGGTTGTTTCCAGTGTCTTGCCAGTGCAGCGGATGGAGTTCGTCTGGCTGCTCGAATCGTAGACGCCCCATGCAGCGAAATGAATACTGATGACTTCCTAAAGGCAAGCATTTCTACTCGCAGTTTTATTTTAATATTATTTATATATTATTATAGTATTTAATAATAATTTTTCATTTTAATTTTGGTAGTTTTCTGTGTGCTTTTGGCACTTTTATTAATATTTTTAAATACATTTAAGCATGATAGAATTTTATTTCAGTTTTAGTCATTTTAGTGCTTAAACATATTTTGTTTAATTTAGCAGGGTTTCTGCGGGTCTTAAAAAGGGCTTGGTCTTAATTCGTCCTTCTATAAATTAAGGCCTTAAAGTCTTACATCAGAGCAGAAAAGTCTTAAATTCATAAGTTTATGGTATTAAATGTTGCATGCATTGCAAAAAATCTATATCTTCATCAGTAATTTTCAATACTATTATCTAAACATCCTTAAATCAAGATACATTTACTTGAGATTCAAATGTAAAGTTTAGTTTTGAAAAACTGAACAAATTTCAGTTTGAATGCTTTATGCTTAAAATAAAAAAACTCTTGTCAATGGGGAATGAAAATGTCTTTTCCTTTTTTTAATTTTCACTTAAGTTTTTCATCTAGCGTTTATATTTTATTTTATTTCAATTAACAAAAATTATTTTTAAATGTTATTTTTATTTTATTTATTTATGTATTTGTTACTTTATGTATGTGAGAAATGCATGCTGAAATTGCTTTTCCGCTCATCATACATACATTATGCAATCTTCTGCAGGAAATCAAGGCAGTGGGCAATGAACTAGGCATCACTCCAACTATAATTCGAGGAGAGGAACTGATACAAAAGGGCTTTGGAGGTAATCTTGAGTTTCTTCTTTAAAAAGGTCAGCCGATTGCAACATTTTCTGATCTATGATGAAAAAGATGAGCTTGCATTCTCATCACAAGATGAGTGGATGGATGTTATTTTAGAACTGCTGACTTAAACTTCATCTGGAAGAAGCAGCACTTTCTGGCACGTAAAGGAAAATCGTGCACGCTATTTTAAGCTTGAAAACGCATTTCGTTTAGCAAAAATGACGCAAGCAACCGTTACTCTGTGCATATGTTTACTTGTGCAAAATCATTCTCTCTTTAGGCATCTATGGAGTTGGTAAAGCTGCTCCGCATCCTCCTGCATTGGCTGTGCTCAGCCACACTCCCTCAGGAGCCACGCAGACCATTGCCTGGGTGGGCAAAGGCATTGTCTATGACACAGGCGGTCTCAGCATCAAGGGCAAAGTAAATACTGCACCTCACTGTCTGCCAAGTGCACTAAACGGGCAGAGCACTCAATAATACTATAATGTTTTTTTTTTAAAGGTGAAGATTGTAATTTTTTTTACGGTATTAATATGAAACCCATTCCCGCTTAATATGCAGAGTTTGCTGTAAGAAACAAATTTTTTGGTTGATTTTCCACAAAAAAATGCCATCAGAATGGACTGTTTGTGAGACCAAATGCAGATATTTTGCAATGCTTTTTGGTGCCGCTAGAGGCACACAAGTGACACCTCACTGTTAAACATCAGACTATATCTGCATTTAAGATTATTTATTGTTTGTACAATTTATTTTTCTCTCCTTTATAGACCACAATGCCGGGAATGAAGAGAGACTGTGGAGGAGCCGCAGCCATTTTAGGAGCTTTTAAAGCTACTGTTAAACAGGTACTGATTATTTTGGCAACTAAAGATTACTGGCTGCTAAACTTATCTACACTAAAAGTCCTTACCCCTGTCTCAAGTGGGCAGCCAAAACGGCTTGCACTTTACACCTGGTATTAATATGTCTCAAATCCATCCACAGTGACCGTGTAATATTTTGTTGATGGGAGGGTGTCTCATTTCAGGACTCCATGCATTTTCAGTGTGTGTGAAATCATGTGCTTGTATACACTAGCATTCAAAAGTTTGGGGTGGGTAAGATTTTTTCAATCTCTATTCATAAGTCTCTTATGCTCACCAGCGTTAAAAATGCTTTTAAAACTCTAATATTGTGAAGTATTATTACAATTTAAAAGACCTGTTTTATATTTTAATATCTTTTAACATGTTACTTATTCCTGTGATTAAAAAAGCTGAATTTTCAGCAACATTACTCCAGTCTCAGTGTCACACGATCTTTCAGAAATCATTCTAATACTGATTTGCTGCTCAAGAAACATTGTTATCAATGTTGAAAACAGTTGTGCTGCTTCACATTTTTTTTTTTCAGGAAAAGATCAACATTTACATTTAGTCATTTAGCAGACGCTTTTATCCAAAGCGACTTACAAATGAGGACAATAAAAGCAGTCAAAACTAACAAAAGAGCAACAATATATAAGTGCAAATGACAAGTCTCGGTTAGCCTAACACAGTACACGTAGCAAGGTGTATATATGCGTGTATATGTATGTATGTGTATATATATGTATGTATGTGTATATATATATATATATATACACACACACACACACACACACACACACACACACACACAAAGAAAAACAAGTAGATAGAATAGAAAAAATAGAAAGCTAGTGTATCTTTGTTTTTGTTTTGTTTTTTTTTATAAAAAAGAAGATAAATATAGAGAAAGTAGAATTAAAATAGAATAGAAAGTAGAATTAAAATAGAATAGAAAGTGCTAGAGTTAGAGGGTCAAATAAAGGTGGAACAGATGTGTTTTTAGTCGTTTCTTGAAGAAGCATTTATTTGTAACATTATAAATGTCTTTACTGTCACTTTTGATCAATTAAATGCATCCTTGCTGAATAAAAGCTGAAAAATCCATGCTGAAAAAATTAACCTTACTGACCCCAACTTTTTAAACTAGTCTATTTTTGAGCATTTCTGGTTTTTGCTTATTCAGACAGTTGTTTTCTTTTAAAATTGTAGATTGTTGTTTTCGTACAGTGATTACGTGTGGCATGAGTGATGCATTACATGTTGATATTACAAATGCGAAATTAATCATATTCATCCCTGATGACATCTGAACAATACATTTTGTAACTGGTTTGCATCTGTATTTGTGATCGCATTGCACAAAACAGATGTTAATACCAGGTGCAACCTTAACACATGTTTGAAGTTCTGATGTTTACTTCTGTTGCATGTCTCAGGGCTTTAAGGACAATCTTCATGCGGTTTTCTGCCTAGCTGAGAACTCAGTGGGACCTACAGCCACTCGACCAGATGATATACACACTCTCTACTCCGGAAAGTAAGTTTTGGCTCATTAATGAAAACATCTTCCATGTGTCCTAACCAGCGATGCAGTTTGCTTGTAACTAAGGTGTGTTTCCATGATTTCTCAGAACAGTGGAGATAAACAACACGGATGCTGAAGGGAGGCTGGTGCTCTCTGATGGTGTTGTATATGCAAGCAAAGATCTTTCTGCAGACATCATACTGGACATGGCAACACTGACCGGCGCTCAGGTGCGTTGGTGTTGACAGACATAGTAGTGTGTTAGGATCTTCTGAATGCACTTGCTTGCTTTTCTTAATTCTATATTCAATTTCAGTGCAGTCATTCTATCTTCTTTGAGACATCTGAGTACAAGTCTTTACAGGTTTTAACTGAGAACAAGATCTTGTATATTGATATGAAGAGTGTCACAAGATATCAGGGAGAATTGGAGGATTTCCAGAACACAAACCGCTTCTGTTTATCAGCTAACACGTATCGTTGTTTTAAACTGCTTTATGGCTGTTGCACTTTGGATTTTGGAAAAAACCGGTTATATCTTGACTTACAGTATATCTTGTGTGTTCATAATCATGTGATGGAAGCTCTTTTTTTTTTTTTAAGAGTGGCCACTGAATCACTTTGTTTTTCGTCATGAATTTTAGTCACTGATGCTGACCAAAAAAATCCCTTTGATCAGACAGCAACATGTAAGAAAAAAAAAAATAACTTATATTCAGCAAGGATTAATTAAATAGATCAAAAGTGACAGTAAAGACATTTATAATGTTACAAAATATTTCTATTTCAAATAAATGCTAATTAAATCAATTTGAACTTTTGGAAAAAAAAAAAAGTATCACAGGTTTTCACAAATGTTTTTAACATAGATGAGAAATGTTTTTTGACAAATCAGCATATCAGAATGATTTCTGAAGGATCATGTGACACTGAAGACTGGAGTAATGATGCTGAAAATTCATCTTTGTCATCACAGGAATTAAAAAAAATGTAAATCATAATAATTTTTAATAATATCACTGTTTCTAAATCCAGTTCCTAATCAGTAAAATCAAGTCCCACACTACTCAAACATCCTGTCACTTGTGCTTTCCGTTTTCTTTGTCTGTGGTTTCTGCAGGGAATCTCCACGGGGAAGTATCACGCTGCTGTGATGACCAACAATGAGCAGTGGGAAGCCGCTTGTGTGAGAGCGGGCCGCAGCAGCGGAGACCTGGCACATCCTCTGGTCTACTGCCCCGAGCTTCACTTCAGTGAATTCACCTCAGCTGTGGCTGACATGAAGAACTCTGTGGCGGTGAGGAAACCGGGAAGAGATGGGTGTGGAGTGAAAGGGGATAAAGAGAGTGTACTTCTTTTTCCCCATGCACAAATGTTCACCACAATGATCCTTCAGTTACCGTAATTGTGTACCATACAGTGCATAGTAATTGTTTACCATTAGGACATGATGGACTTTTTAGCTTTTACAGCTTTTTTTTTTTTTGTTTTTCTTTTTTCATTTTTACATATTCTTTTACTTTTTTAAATTTTTTATTTGATTTCATTTTTTATTATTATTTTTTATTTTACAATTTTTTTATTTATTTTATTCTTTTTATTTAGGTTTAATTGTTTTATTTTACTTTTTTATTACGTTTTATTTTAACTTTACATTTTTTACTTTATATTTAAATTTTTTTACTTTTTGTTTTATTTGACTTTTACTTTTATTTGACCTTTTTATTTTATTTAGTATTACTTATTGCTTAAATTTATTTTACTTCTTATACATTTTTGCTTATAATATATTTTAATTACATTTTTTTATTTTACTTTTTTATGGATTTATTTTAATTATTATTTATTTTATTGCTGTCTGAATTGGAATTTTCAGTTCTTCACAACCTAAGACAAAATTCAATTTAAATAATTAGCTTTAATAGTAATTTCATGTGATTAACTGGTGCATATTTTGTATGTCTGCAGGACCGTGAGAATGCGCAGAGCTCCTGTGCTGGCCTCTTCATTGGCTCTCATCTGGGTTTTGATTGGCCAGGCATTTGGGTACATGTGGACATCGCTTCACCAGTCCACGCTGTGAGTATAGACTGAACATGAACTGAAATGGTGCGTATTTCTCCAAGAACTGTTAATAATTCATCAATGTGGATTGTGGACAGGGGGAGCGTGCCACAGGTTTCGGTGTGGCCATGCTCTTGGCTCTGTTTGGCCAGGCGTCTGAGGACCCCTTGCTCAACTCTGTGTCGCCGTTGGGTGCCACCACAGCCAAAACTGCCTCTGAAGACCAGATGGAGAGGGACTGCAAGAGGAGGAGACTCGTCTAAGATGTTTTTAATCTTCAAAATGATTAAATCTCAGTCACGCCTTGTACATGTTCTTTCACAAAAGTTGCATCCATTAAACACACACACACTTGCTCTACCCCGTCCTGTACTGACCACCTCAGATAACCTTTCTGAGTTAAGCTGACATTATACACAGTTATGAATTTAAATAAAAGTGCAACGTTGTCTCAACATATGTTTTGTAATGTACATGTGAATCTCTTTCACAGTTTGCCGTTTTGAAGTTGCCATAGGGAATGTTGCAGGAACAGCAAGTGGCTTGAAATAATTATCAGCATGTTGTACTAAGGTCTTCAACATTTTTCCTTTTTCAATCAGAAAGTGTTTAAAATGCAATCATTTGGTTTTCATTCCAAACGTAAATGACATGATCACAATGTTAGTGTAAGTGATGTTTTTGCCACTAAATGTGTGCTGACGATATTCACTTTTGATACCAATTTTGTGTGAAGAATATGGAATGTGATTGACAAAAATATTTTCAGAGTAAATGGGTAAAAAAAAGCTTGTTCACATTCATTTTCTCTGCTGTATGTCTGCAATTACTCAAATTACGATTACCATAAAATCTACAGATTGTGACATCAAAATTTTAATGCAAAGGGAAATATCAATTTGACAATTTCTCACCGCCAATTATCTGACATACTTAAACTAAAATTAATATTAAAACCACTTCCATGATATGTAATGATAACAGCAGCTGACCTTTGTGTAATAATAATATATTTAATCCATTTATGTTTTCCCAAAAACATGTACGATTTCATCTAAAAACATGAAAAAAATATTAAATTAACATTAAAACTTGCAGCAAAATTACACTGGATTTTATCTTATTAGTCTTTGTGTATTTTATATATATAATATATATATATATAATTTTGCATTGACATTTTAATGACAATTATAGTTAGATGTGTGTTTATACGTATACATTTATATTTTAAATTAAAAAAAATGGTATTTAAACGTTAAAGTATTTCCACATCCTGGTAGTCTGTTAGACTGTCTTTATGCTGATTTTATCTAAAGTCTATCAATAATACAGTAATGGGAAGTTATGATATGATCAGTCAGTCACTTTTTCTGAGTTGTGAACTGAATAGAAAGCCATGATCTGGGGGTGAATAAAACACTGTAGATTCTTCCACAGGTTCCACTTTAATAGGAAGCTCATCTTCAGACTTGATTTCAGCCTTCTGAGGAACATCTTCCATCTCCACAACGACGTTCCCGCGAATTGTAATCTGCATGTGTGGCAAAGCAATGAAGCTCTTGATAATGTCCTGTCGTGATGCACTGGGATTGACTGTGAGCACTGACCTTATGACCTCGTCTTCAATCTTTGGCTTCACAACATTTCCTGTTTCTGGTTTAAGATCCAGGTGACCACTAAACTTCAGTATGATGCCAGTGCTTTTATAATGTGTGTTGCATGAGACACAATATACAGTTGGGCTTGACAGTGTCACGTTCTTCAGTATATGTTTACAAGGACAAATGAAGAGATTTTTAATGTTTGCACCAATGATGTCACATTTAATTGTTTCTGTTGGCACTTGAACAGCAGCTGCTGTACCTTGAGATGGGATGCTGATGATCTGTGTGTCTTTGGTAGTTGATAGGGATGTTTTTCCCCTGAACTCTCTCACAGAGACATTTGTGACGTTGTACCATTCACCGACAGTAATGCTGTGCTCACACCAGACCGTCAGACTCATGCAGCCTGTAGTATCTGCAACAGTATATTCGGTTCTTGGAAGATACCGTCCATTCCATACAACACTGTTTCCCCTGCGCAACTCCTGGATGATCTTTGCATTAATGCTGACCTGTGCAATATGCAGAAAACAAACAGATGCATATGGCTCAGTGACTTGACACTTGGCTCAGTTATAAAAAAATTAAAAAAAAACATTAAAATGAAAACAAAAATTACTTGAATACACCTATCCATTTTTTTCTGATTTTATGTAAGTTGTATGTATTTATTTATTTGGGTGGGAGAGTTAAAAATAATACAGAGAAAATAAAAATACAGAAAAAAACTTTGCTATTAGTAGTTCAACAATCTTTTATAATTGTGTCTTTAATGACATGTAGTTTTCATTCTCCAAGAATATGTTTAAATTGTAAAACTGCTTGTAGGCCTATTTATTATAAACTACCTACCCTCTTTGGTTGTGTATGCAGGTTAAGGAGTTCAGACAATTGCACAGCTTGTGGACTAGCAAACAAGCTGTTGTTAAATGATTCTCTGAGGTCACGAACGCAGGACATTTTGGATCTGTGAGTGTAGAAGACGTTCATTCTTCTGCTGGACTCCATAGACGGCTGTAAAACCACGTCATCTAGTGTAACTAGGCTCCTGTACAAAGGATATCATGGTTTAGACACATTTACAATCAAACTGACAACAGAAATGAACAGGATGGGTTTTTAAATAATTCTACTGTATATGTGATTTAAAATGTTGCTCAATAAACCATTTTAGAAACTTAGAAAAATAAGATGGCTTTACTTTTGTGAGAGAAGACTTACCGGGTCTTTTCAGCGTTGTGGAAGTGCATGTGATCTTCTGGTCTGAAGACCACAACTTTGCTATATATACCTTCATGTTGAAGAACGGCATCAAAATATCTCTCTTTTATGGGGCTCACGTCGCAAAGGAACCCCTTAACCTGATTCCTTAATTTTTTAGCTGGACTTTGTTCTGCCATGTCTGATCACATGGGTTGCAGCTGTTAACTTGCTTTTAAAGTTAAATAGGAGCAGTTGACATATTAACATACAGCAAACAGTATTTTAGCTGACCAGACATCTTCATATGATGTTCAAATTGTTATATCAAGCAAAACTACTGGAAAATAAATTTCTTTCTACTTTTTTTTGTTTCCAAGTTTCTAGTTCTTACCCATGACTATAAACTGTTCCCTTATTTAAGAGGTACATCAGGTTCATTCTCACTGTGTCACAGAACTACAAACACACTGATAACAACTGACTCAAGAACACCTCTGTGTTTAGAAAAATATATTTCAAACTTAGCTAATGAAAACATGAACACCTAAACAATAAAGTGCACAGTGTCATGCACATTGAGCTACCATTATCACCTTTTCATCTATTATCACTTTATCACTATTATACTTTTTATCACTTCTCTGATCAATGCATTTGTTTCACTGAAAACCACAGTGCTTCAACATGTGAAACAGATGTCAATACAAGTACTATTGACTATGCTATATATTACATAAAAGAATAGCAGAGAATATGCTTACCTGTGCTCACGTCTCCTATGCTGTAAAAATTAAGACTGGACTTTGAAATGCAAACATGTATTATATAACTTTATGATCTGTAAATATTATTGAAAGCAGAAGTACACAGCCCTACTGATTATTTATTGTACTTTTTAATTCAATATTTTCGACCACTATTGTTAACTAAAAATAAAAACTGTTTTTCATTCATTTAAAGGGGTCATATGATGCTGCTAAAAAGAACATTATTTGGTGTATTTGGTGTAATGAAATGTGTTTATGCGGTTTAAGGTAAAAAAAACAAAACATTATTTTCCACATACTGTACATTATTGTTTCTCCTCTATGCCCCACCTTTCTGAAACGCGTCGATTTTTACAAAGCTCATCGGTCTGAAAAGCGAGGTGTGCTCTGATTGGCCAGCTATCCAGTGCATTCTGATTTGCCAGCTATCCAGTGCGTTGTAATTGGCCGAATACCTCAAGCGTGTGACAGAAATGTTACGCCCCTTACCATACTGTGATGCCCTGTCCGGCCGGAGCGAAGAGACAAAAACATTAAAACCCATTACAAACGAGGCATTTGTTGCATCCAGTGGGGACATATTTATTGAATATAATGACTTATACTGTCTTTTTATGCGTTGCTTTGCATCGCGCCACGTAAACATAAAACCATGTCTGCATTTGTGATCGGAGAAATGACAAACAAGCGCTACTCTACACTGCTCAAAACTCACGTTTGAATCATCAGTGGCAAATCCTTTAAATATGAAAACGTACTTACAGGCTGTGAGTCAGCATTATTTGTCAGGATACCGGCATTGTAGGCTACTCTCCCAGAAAACAATCCTTGTCCTTCATAAAATGTGCTGCACACATCTGAATATTTGGGTTAAACTGTTCTGGAACAGTGTTGTAAATACAACTTAACCACTGATTTCTAGTCATGTCCTCTTTTGGAAGACCAAACAAAGTAGTTAAGCTCTCACAACGAAACAGCATCTCCACGACATGGTGGCTGCGGCAACAATACAGCCAGAATCAAAGTTACGCCTTCTTTCTTTGTGTGAACATTTGGGCGATGTTATGCAAATCTTCCCACATCGTGACGTAGACATGTGGGGGTGTGTTTAAACGAAGCGTTTTAGGAGGGCGTGGACGTGTCTTAACTTTGATAAAGAATATCTCTTTGGGTTTGAGACTTTAGTCTTTGCAACTTTAGGGATCTTATCTATTCACGAACAGCTTGTAACTCTCCAAAGAGAAAGGAAAACTTAAAATCGCATCATATGACCCCTTTAAATAAAGCAGAAATAAAATAAAATTAAATTAAATATAAATATCACATTAAAACATAAATACTTAAATTAAAATGAGAAATGTTGCCTTGGCAACTAACTAAAATAAAATAAGTATTAAAATGACTAAAACTAAAATTAAAAAAGAACAATTAAAGCTAATAATTAAAGCAAAAACTAATAAAAATGTTACAAATCAAAATATGAACAAATACTATAATATAGTAAATACATAATACTAAAATAACACTGTTTTGGGCAAAAACACAGCCTACATTTTAGACCCAATATATATTTTTTCATATTACGTGCCTCATTATGCCTTACAAAAAATTATTGATACTAGAGCATTTGTTGAGACTAATCGTTTCCACAAACACACACACAAACAGAGAGAGAGAGAGAGAGAGAGAGAGA